GAATGTGAATCAGAACAATGACCTCTCCACCTCAGAATCAATTTGATAGTGTACATTCAAGTGTGGTGAAAGAAAGAAAGAAAAACAATTGAATTCTACCCTGTGTTGGTCAACTGAAGTGAGGTCCCAAAAGGGAGAATCCTTTATGTCCTAGGCGTAAGCAGTTTTTCAAACTAGCCAGTCTCAACAATTGAATCCAAAAATTCACGTTACCATTGTACCAAATAGGAACCACTGGAAAAATAAAATGAACATGAAGGGAAAACTCACAGGTAAGCGAATTGTTCTGGACTGATCAGAAAGAGACTTTCGAACAGCCTGTTTAATCCACCAGTGTGCGTAGGTTGAGAACTTAAAACCCTTCGAAGCATCAAATTTCTCTGCACCTCTTACAAGACCTCGACATCCTTGCTAAAAGTCAATAAGCAAGATTTAGGTATTATTCAAAGGTGGCAAGACTTCAGGAATATAATTATTTCAATCCTTCAGGAAAGTGTTCATATTAGAGCAAACTATGGTACATATGATATGAAAATAAGATAAAGTAATACCTGAACAAGATCTTGTAGATTCATCCCAGCTCCCTGATAATTTTTTGCAATTGATATAACAAGCCTTATGTTGCTCTTGATCATTTTGTCTTTGCACAGAATACCATAGTTTATGCGCTTCCTCAATGTCTTCTGATCAACTCCTGCTGCTGCTGCCCACTGGGCAATTGTGGGCTGACCACCACATCTTTGTACAAGCTCCTCCTGGAGCTTTTCCAGTTTCAATAGTTCCTAAAACATATGAAAAATACTTGAGGCACCAGAAATCAGATCATAGAGAAATATAAATAAAATAGTCAAACTAAGTCCAAATATCCCAAGAATATTTTCCTTAATGCTTATATATTTCTTGAACTACATGAAGTAGGAACTCCATTGTTTTCCTAGTTTACTTCTACTTGTACAACATTCCAATGACCTTACTTTTTGCCAATTTAATTGGGACAAAAGTATTTAATTTTCTAAGACTGAAAACAATTTCCTTTGAAATTATCTCCACTTTTCATCCATGATATGATAGCATACCATATCAATCAAAATCCAAGCAGTAATTGTTATCCAAAGCTTCCTAAGAAAAGCATTATATTCTTTTGGACCAAAAAAAGGCATTCTATTCTTTGAATTTAATTCCATGAAATGCATGAACTGGCAAAGTAACTAACTAAATAATTGACCATCAACAATTCCAAGGGCATCTATCAAAACCAACCCATGGGAGGTACTATACTTTACCTTCATGATAAACTACATAAGTAGGATCAACCGTTAACAAACTGTAACCAGACATCATCTAAAATATAACCTACAAAAGGGTACTTGTGCATGGTTCATTTTTGGACCAACATAGAATCATCTTTCTAATGGATATCATCATGGATACTGACCTATCACCTATCAGAGGGTAAATTATTACATTTTTGCTCTTGTTTTTTATTGGGTGGACGGGGGTGGGGGCGTGCGCAGGGTGCAGTAGTAATGAAATGTTCAAGGGGTAATTCATATAGCATTATAAAAAAGGTGGATTCAAAACTCTCACAAGATCACTGTTGATGATACAAGTAATACCTGTATTCCTTCGGAAAGCTCAATTTCTTCATTTGCAGTAAGAAGCCTAGAAGTGTGGGTAGTTGCTCTCAGGTAACGCAATGGATCAGAATGGTCTACATCTTGTAAAGAGGCACGCTTTTTTCTGCTGGTTGAACCAGACTTCACTGACACAACACTTGCAGCAGCCTTCTCTGCTGCTTTGGCTCTTCTGGCCTTCCTTTCTATTTGACGACTCGATCTTGCAGTTATACCCTCGGAAAGTTGCTCCTGCAGAAGTTCAAATTCTTGATTTGTTGACTCCACATCTTCTGACTCTTTTATGGCAAGCTGAATGAAATGATTTTCCACCAGTGCAGTTTCAGATCCCATGGAAGCTCCTAATCTAGAAGGTTGTTTGGTTTCCATATGCTTAGCCCATTTGAAATGCAAAGCATTAGTCTTGGGAGAAACTGGAGATGAACTTTCAGCTTTAGCAGAGTGATTAGTGCTAACCAGCAATGCCACATCCTTTGCAACCTTGAGAGCCGCTTTTGCAAGAGTAACAGCTTCAGCCGCAGCAGCTGCTATTACAGCCTCTTCACTTGTAAGAAGATTTTCTGTAGCTAAAGTTGCTCCAAAGTTTGCCTGGTGATAAACATCAAAGCTATTAGAGTTTTAAGCTCAACATCTTTCATACATAGGAAAAACTCAAACTGAGAAAGAAAATACCTGGAACCCTAAACCCGCTAAATATACCATGAGGTCAAATTTGTAATTGTAGTATGCAATGAACTAGTGAAGGTGGCTAGGTCACAGCCAGCTATAAGATGTTCAAAAAATTGTCTGGGAACCTAACCACTATGCATGTGAAATTTTTAGAACAGTATTTATTTTCAATTTGACAAACACAAACCTAATATGCGCAAGTTTTCTGTTATCCAGGAATCATGCAAATACAGCAGGCATCCAACTAAATACAATGGAGCAATAATATCAAACATGCTCAATCCAATTCGTAAAAATTACAAAGTATCCCAAATGTCTGCATGTCTGCATTCAAGCATTGTCACCAAAAACAAAAATAAGTAATAGATAAATTCTGCAAGCTTTATCCCCGAGGAAAGAAATTCTAATTAAAGATACTATATGAAATACTGAAAAGTAACTAGATATCCAATAGACCTATTCTAACCTCAATGGGAGGACCAGTTGCCCCTGTATATGTCCATGGTCTATTTGCAGCCAAAGAATCGGAATTAACTTCTAAAGAAGGTAATCTCAGCTTCTCCACATCAAGAACTGTAGTTGTTCCTGTTGATGTTGAACGCGATGCAGTGGATAAAATAGATTGAGCCCGGAAACAGAGAGGATCTCTACTCTTTGCTGCATATATCAACCAAGAAATCATGAGAGAAATAGAGCAAATAAGATCCACGACCTTGTATTTCTTTTAAAATATCATAAGAAATGTACATGTCTTCTGTTCTACAATCAATAAGCCTGGCTTTACATGACTACAACTTTGGTATGGAACATTCTCACAAATGTGCAATGCAAGTATAAGTATTCAAGTCAGTTCATCACAAAGGAAATTATATAGATGTCATGCTTCAAAAATATGATGGAAAAACGAGTAAAACTAGTTCAGTTTCTAAGTTTTAAGCGGTTTTAGACATAATTACATAAGATTTCAATTGCAAAAACCAAATTTTCATAACTGATAATGTAGACCAACCAAATGGGCACAACCCATTTAGCTAGGATACAACATTAACATAACATTTAGCTGGGAAATAACATAATTGACTTGAAGCAAGAGATTGAAACCTTGGAAGCCCTTGGCAATGGAGGTTCCCTCCTTAAATAACCCATCAAAGAAAAGTCTCTGAGTCCTAACTCTGAAGCCCAGGACTGTGAGCTTGGTGGACATGACTCCAATGGCCCTCTTCTTCTTGTGCCTGTGGTTTGTTGGGTAGGAAAGTGGCAGTGGGGAGAGAAATGAGGGACATATTAAAGAGGAAGATACATTAGGAGGAGTGTGTTTGTGGGAATTACAAAACCCAACTGCTGATGATGAAGAAGAAGATGAAATTGATAAGATTGACATCTCTTTCTGCTGTTCTACATATAAAGCTTCAAAGACATAGCATGCTTCAGCCTTCACCTCTGAGTCAAAAGAGAAAAGACATAGCAGTAGTTGCAGCAGCGGAACATAGTAAGTAGAAGAGAGGGAGGAACTGAAGATGGATGCGAGAGGGAGAGAAAGAGTGCTTCAAACTGAGCCGTTTTCTTATCCTCTAGGATTTGGAGTTTTGGACCACCCAAAACTACAACTCAAAATAAGTGTTGAGGAGGGAGAAGGACCAGGCCCGTTTCTTCCATCTAGCATTTCTATCCGGTATTGAACGTTTTTCACAATTTTTTTTTTTTTTTTTTTTTTTCAAATTTATAGAAAGGACCAAGAAATGCTCGAGTAATAGTTTGAAAGCTTTGGTTTGTTACAAGTTTTCTAAAATACATGAAGTATTGATGAAAATACCAAAAAAAACAAAAAACAAAAAAAGTATTATCAAAATGGGATCATAAGTTTTATCTTCTAGACTTATGGTTAAATTTTCAAGTTACTCAAAATTGTCATCATTAAGAACTATTTTTATCTTCAACAAAAATTTATATATATAAGAATAAATAATAAATAAATAAAAGACATGATATTCCCATGAGTGCGGATCGAGGAAACAAAATTAAAATCCTATTTAATATTATTTTCTTAAGAAAAAAAATTGCTCATTTATAAATCAGATTTTGTTACTACTAGCCTCGTGTGCTAAGGCCTTTTCTTAAAACAAAAATCTTATCTTTTAAATATATAAATATATAAAAAGTAATTTACAAAACTGAAAAGAAAACAAAAAAGAGATGAACGTGGGTGTAGTGGAGAGAGAGGTATGTGGGTGGAGAGAGAGGAAATAAAACCCTTAAAAAATAAAAAAAACATCAACAACATATTTTGTATGTCTAAAATAAGGCCATTCCTTACCTCAGTACTAGGGACATCAACTGAAACAGAAATCCCTGCTTGAACCCCTTCAGAAGGAGGCTCCACTTCTCCAGCTCTTTCCTTTGGAAGAACTTCTCCAACATTAGGAATTGGGCTTGAAGGTGGCACCGAAGTTAATGGAGAGGTAGGAGGAGGAGGAATCTGCAGACAAATAAATTAAGATCAGCAGTGACAATTTCATGTCTTCTACTAATCAACAGATGAATAGCAAGAAAAGAATACCTAAAGGGCAGCAGGGGACGACTGTGGAGTCTTTGCAGGTGAAGTCCTTGCCCACTTGCTTTGAGTAGTCTCGGGCTGAGCCTGGCCCACATCGCCACCACTCACAGACTCCTCAGGCAGGGACCTCTTTCTGGTACCCAGTTTTTCAACTACATCAAACGAAGGAGCGATCCAGAATCCATGCAATTAGATAAAGAAATTCTTAGAAATTACGAGTATGGTTTCTTTTGCCTTTACATGAAGAAGCAAGAAAAAGAGGTACAATAGAATCGAGCCTACTAGCAGCCTTGACAACAAGAGAAGCAAAAGGCACTTCCTTCACCAAATTTCGCTTCATTTGAACGAAAATCAAAGCTTTAGTGCCGGAAATAGAAATGACGGAAATCTAAATTCCGTCATTTTAGAACTCTATGTAATTTGCAATTCCTTCATCCAAATAGAGCATTGTTGTCTCTATCATTATGCATAACTCATTGAATTCCTTAAAAAGCTTGGAAAGTTGTGTCTTCATTGAGTTCAAGGTGGGCTTCTTCAAAATGGAAGAACATGGGCGATGCCACTGAATATAATCCTCATGGCGCTGCCTTGGTGTGCACTTTTTTATGTCTATAAAACCATGGTAGAGGTACATTTCATACCTACTTTTGTTTAGAGGTTGCAACAACTAGGGGTGGCCATGGGTTGGGTTGGGTTGGGTTGGGTTGGTTTTAGTCCCAACCAGATATATAGTTGTTTATGATTTCTTGGACCCAAGAACTGCTCATTATTAGGCCAACACAACTGAACCCAAACTTTTTGTGACGGGGTTAGACAGTTCGGACGAGTGAACTCAAAATTAAGCCTACTTTTAAGTTTCGGTTCCAACCCATAACCCAACTTGTATGTAGCGGTTTATGATTTTTTTGAACTCAAGACACACTCATTTTTAGGCCAACCTGACCCACTATGATCGGATTAGGCAATTCGGTCGAATTGACTTGAAATTGTGCCCATCCCTAACAACAACCACTGTTCCAATAAATAAAACACCATGACTTTGTGCATGGTATGGTAAACTTTGTCCACAAACAACGAATACTTCTCAACACACAATAGGAGAGCTTAGGCAACGAAATAAGGCTTAGCTGAAGTAAGAAGCTTGGGGGATGATCCATCCCCACCCCATAATTCTAGACATGGGATTAGCAAGCTCGGCATTATCGACAAAATCATGGTGTTTCCCTTTTGTCGGGCGAGTAGGCTGATTGAAGAAGTTTTTCTCCTTTTTTAATTAAGTGCGCAACATGCCACCACCAAGTCGCAAATGGCTTGAATGGAATGTAAGTAGATGATGCATCTGTTGAAGAAAAATGTGAACCTCCCAACATAATTTCACCACCACTAATTAAATAATGGAGTTTTATTATTTTAGGTTTGCCCCATTCGAGACGCGGTGTCTCTTAATTACAATCCCTTGCTTCAAGGGAACAACCGTTGATTCCATCATAAAGAAACAGAATGTGTGTGTTTGGTTTTGCAATTGCCCCTAAGTCCAACGTCAAGGTGCCTATGTATCCCTTCCGGGAATCAACCCACTCGTAGTTCAAAGAATCAAAATGAATAAATGACTCATTGCAAGAAAATTTTGATTTGAATTGTATTGAGAAGCGTTTGAGTGAATTTAGCTGAATAAACCAGGGATTCAATACAGAATTGTGTTCGGGGCAAATTTTGTTAAAAAATAAACAAGGGATTCAAATTTGGTTGCTGTTGCGTCTATTAGTATGGTGCCTAGGTACAATTGATGGGATCAAACCAACGTAGTTCGGAATTGATTTGTACGGAGATGGATATTTGATTTGTGGGAATTTAGTTGATGTAACCAGTGATTCAAATTTAGTTGCAGTTGCGTCTTTTTGTGTCTATTGGGATGCTAGACTACCTACATACCCTGATGGGATCAAACCAATGTAGTTCAGAATTTAGAAATTAATGGATAAGTATGGCCCACTAATTGAGAATTTGTGTTTGAGAGATTTGAATTTAATCTCATTGAAATTCGCATGGGTAGATGACTCATGGGAAAAATTGGATGATTCTGTACCATTTTTCTCATTGTCAATGTCCAAGAAAAATAATGAGCAATTTTGATGAACCCACTAATTTTCTACAATTGACATTTGCATTTAGACCCAAATATGGCTATGAGGATTTTAAAAATGATCCCTTAACCATATAATAGGTAATTCGGGCCTTTGTAAATTTAATGGGTAATTATTTGGATCACCCATTAAATATTTTGGGCTTTTAAGAACTAATGGGCAAATATTTTTGGCAACCCATTAATGTGTTTCGGGCCTTTGATATTTGTCATCAATTACCCCATGAGCAAGGAGTCCATATCATAAAATCTCTGGTATCCAGCAACCAATTGAAGCCAACCTGATAGCTATGAAACTCTTCTAGAGTTTGTTTCCAAATAAAATCAGGCTTTGCAACTCCCATATTTATTTGGACTACTTGAGATTAACTCAAATATTTCACTATATCTCTTAGAAAGATCAAATAACAATTCCAAAACAAGTATTATTCGTGCGAAGCAAGCTGGAAGAGAAAACCAACAGTAAAGCTTGTTTCTTTTCCTTTTTTAACTCCTTTTCCTTTTAGCTGGCATCTCCTTCCTCCATCTTGGCCATCATCATTTATTTTGTCTATCATTCAAGCAAAGTGGCGCATAGCCACTTTCTTCTTTATTTTATTTATTTATTTTTTTTGGTTCGTTGACTTTTCTTCGACCTCTTCCTATTTTTTCCTTTTGTCTGTTCTTACACCAACACAACTCCTTCCTCTTGCTATTTCTCTTCGTTTCTTTTTATACTGTAGCGAACCTTTTTCCATTGTCATATCCAAAGCAAAACGCAGAGCTTCTTTTGTTTTGATTGTTTGTACAAAAACAATAGATGCGGAATTCAAGGAGTGGGCTGCACAACGTAGCCTCCCTTTTCAAGCTTTCTTTCTTTCTTTTTTTTGTTTTGCTCACTTCCCTTTTTCTTCTTTTTCTGTCTATATGCAAACAACTGATTTCTATTTGTTTTTGTTTCAGAGCAGCACACTCAGACACAGAAGAAATTAGTGAGCATTTGTTTTTAACAGAGAGGGAGAGAGTTGATCAGATTCTCCAAAGGCAGAGGTATAACCTTTGTTTTTTTTTTTCCTCTACTTTGCTTCAATCGTCAATTCCCATTTTTTTATTTTTTATTTATTTTTATAGAACTATGCCCTTAAAGTCAACTAATTATGTAATAGTTAGAGTTAAGGGCATCTTTGATCAAAGACATATTATGTTATCAATGGGCAAGAAAGGTTGTTTATACATTAAATCATCCTATATTATCTTTCAATATGTAGAACAACCATAGTCCAAGTAATACACAAGTGAGTTATGTAATGAGATTGCATACATGAAGACTTATCATCATCCCTACATCCTGAATATGTTTCTGGTTATAGAAATATTGATTGGGCATCCATATTCCGAAAAGACCAGTACACACAGTATCGTCTCTATATGTAGGGAATGGCAAGGTCTCAAGATACTTGATTTAAAATGAAAAAGGTTTAGCTCAACATGTATAAACAAAATGAATCCATCATTTAGAAACGCAATCCAACACATGAGTTACAACATGGAAGTCTTTACTCACATGTGAAGCTGGAACTCATAAATTGTAATGGTGCAAATTAATCCTTAGACCTGAGGCATCATAGATGTTTTGTGGCTATGTTGTTATTCTTTGAGGCACTATACAGTCATGCTGAATTAGGCATACCTTAAAGGTGCTCATCAGGATTCCCAATAGAGTCATGGAAGCAAATGAATGTACAACAAGGAATCTCTACTCTCAGTAAAGGAGAGAGAATACTCCAAGATATGATTGGTCAAATCTCTGCGCAGAGTAATGGATAAGATTTGAAAGAAGAAGTCTTCAAATCTTACCAGAATAATCATATAAAAGGAATGATTCACATTAGGATACTGACAATCGGATTCCATAATCTGATAATGTGAATAAGGAGTATTGACATAAGAGAAGGATTCAATTGCATGGTCATCCCAATTTGAATAGGTTCATTCACAACATCTCATTTAGCTCGAATAATTGTGACTTGCTGCTAGGCGACAACCATAGTTTGTGGATGTCTTAAAAGGTTTCAATTAACCTTTATTCACAAGAAGAATTAAATTGTGGAATTTAATTCGTATATCATCTCTGAGGAGTTATGTCAACCCATTACCTTGCTAAAGGGAACCTACAGATCTGCATACCCAAAGAATTGATTAGAGGTACAAATGAGGACAAATGAAATGAGGAGACACAACACAAGTCAATGGTTGATAATCAAATGTCAAAGTCGACGGTCAAAAGTCAATATGTTGACCAGAGCAATTGACCAAAGTCAAATAGTTCGACCGGGTCAATTAAGTAAGATTATAATTATAATTTAATAGTTAAATTGCAGTTAAAAGATTAATTATGGAATTAATATTGACATATAGAAATATTGGATTGGGCTTTTAAATATGATTTAAAAGGAAATAGACAAAATAGCCCAAAAGGCTATTGGGTCCAAGGGATAAATGGCATAAGATGACATGACCCATGGACCAATGGAGCCCCAAATACCCACCAAATTGTCTTTTGTATTGTCCTATATAAGCTAAGTGTTGGAGAAAACCTAACTAGGGTTTTTGGTTTCCTACTTTGGTTGATGAGTAATCTTCTTTGTATCTCATCTTCCATAAACCAAAAAATTGGTCCAATCAAGAAGTAGACTTGCATCCATACTTCTCGATTGTCTTCTCTTCATCTATAGGAGCATTTGGTGTGGTGAGGTAGATGACTCCAATCTTGGAGCCTTAAGGTGAAGGAGTAAAAATCAAGATAAACAAAAGGTCTTTCTAACAAAGGTGTTCATTCTTGAGAAATCAAGAAAAGGCCATCAAGGGTAAAAGATCTATGCCCTTTTTCATTTTTCTATTTATGTTCAAAGAGACTAGGCTAAGATACTTGGTTTAAAATGAAAAATGTTTAGCTCAGCTAGTATAAACAAAATGAATCTGCCATTTAGAATGTTTTTGTTTTATAGGTTGTGGCTAAAGTTCATTTCATAAGCATTAGATGCATGTTTCCTTCATTTCTCTCTTCTTTGCTACACTTGGTGGTAGAGAGTTAACTTTTCATTTTTCATTTGCAGCTTGTTCAGGCAGAGAGAAGGAGAAACAATAGGACGAAAGTAAAGACCCATTTCATTTGCTAACTATCATAGATCTCTAAACCCATTTTTTTCAGGACATGCCTAAAATTTCTTTCATTCGCAGAGGTTCTGGGTTTCTCGCCTATATGGATTTTTACATTTGATTAATTTCGGGGTTACTCACCCATGGATTTGCATCCAAATAATTTCAGAGTTACTCACTTGCATCCAAATAATTTCAGGGTTTCTCACCCTTGGATTTGTGGTATGCTATGCCTAACATAGAAAAGAAAATGGAGATGACATGTAGCAATTTTTTTCCTCTTCTTTGTACTTCTCTAATTTCTCCTGCAGCCTTTTTCTTTTATCTCTCACCCGCTTCCTCCTTTTTTTTTTTTTTTTTTTTTTTTTTTTCTGTTGAAGCCTTTTTATAGGCTAAGTGGATATGACTTCCCTGGACGAACAACACTTTTGAATTTCAAATGAGTGATGATAGGATTCAGCCTCCCTTTTAGGCCTATTATCTTTTATATCCACCAATTTGAAACACAACACGTATCCCAAAATTTTGGGAAGACATGTTGGCTTGCATTTATCATTTAATTTTTTTTTGAAAAAGGATATAATTTATTTTGACAAATTTTTTTTTTTATCTCAACAACGTCCAAGATCTAACTTTAATTAAACAATTGTTCAACTGAGCAAGGAACCTCCTCACGACCTAAGTTCTTTCACTTTCTCGAAGTCAAGGCTTTATGTAAGCAACCAAATGATGTGGATTAAGTGGAAATGGAGATTGATATAAAATTGTAAATAAAACGAGAATAAGTGCGTACAGTAAAGATGCTTAAATTTAAGGGAAAATTGTAAAAATATCACATAAACTTTTAGTCATGTTCGCGATTACCACATGAACTTTCAATTTTTACTGTTAACCACATGAACTTTGCAAAGTGTTCCAATTTACCACCTACGTGTAACTCCATTTATTATAATTAAAAACTTACATTATTTAAGCTAACATAATTAAAAATAATAGGAAAAAAAGAAGAAAATCAACCTAATCATCTTCTTCTTGTTTTTGTTTTTTGTTTTTTGCTTTTTTGTTTTTTAATTCTTTTAGTTTTAAAATTTTAAAATTTTAAATTATAATGACTTGACTTAACGGAAATTTTAATGGAGTTACAAGTAGTTGGTAAATTGCTACATTTATAAATTTTAGCTAGTTAATAATGAAAATTAAAAGTTCAAGTGCTAAGCGTGTCATCGCCTAAAAATTCACATGGTATTTATGCAAATTTTCTTAAATTTATATATAATTGAAGAGACGCGCGGCCGAGGGGGCGGGGAAGTAAATTGAGTAAAGTAAATGACAGAAAGTATTTAAAGAATTTAAAGATGAGTGCGTAATGTAAATTGAGTAAAATAAATAATTGGAGAGACAAGTGCGTAAACAAATGAAAACAATGTAATTAAAATGACAAGTTGTGTGTTGTGTCACAAATCTTTTCTCTCTTCCAAAAGTTTGGTATTTATAAGGGCTTCGGTACATCCCAATTTGATCAATCATCAATTGATCTTCAAACAGTCATAATTTCATACTTGATAAATATCATTAATTTTGGCTGATTGCTTCAATTTTCTTGGTTGACCCAAAATGCATTCAACCCCCTTGATTCATGCTTGTGGTTTAATCTAAATAAAATGCTAATTTGATTTTCTTTCCATCTTCAACTCTCCCACATTAACTTTGGTTGAGCATTTGGTTGGCATAAATCCCTTCTATATTTGGATTGTAACATGTGTGAAAATCCTCCTCCGAATGTTCTCTCCTCATTTATGCTTTGGGTTATTTCATGCATTCAACCGCTTCTAGTCATTCGGTCGTATTTAGGCATTTGACCACTTTTATGTGCTTGTCTGTTTTCACATGCTCGACCGCATTCAGGTGCTCGACCATATTTAGGGAGTCAGACACTTATATGCACTCCACAACATATATAATCTTTTGGGGTTCTAGCCATCCTTACTGATTTAGAATTTGGGGCCGATGAGTATAACTTGGGGCTCCTTATAGATTATGGTCCACTCAAACATAACTAGGGCCAAAATGGTAATTTGGGACCGCTCGAGCATAACTTGGGCTCCTTGTTGATTTAATTGTCGAATCTTGGACATGACCCAACCAAACTTGGACCAAGCTCAAACATTAACCCCCTAGTTTTTATGAACTTTGCCTCCAACTCCAACTAAATTTATGAAAACCGAGAGTAACTTAGAGTTAATTCTTTTTCATGATTGCACAACTACTTCAAGATTTTACTCTTATATCGGCCTCTAGATGATTTTGCATTGTTTTCAAGCTATTATTTTCAAAGCAACTTAGCTATAAAGCCTGATTAAATATTTACATGTCGCCACATTCTTCACACTTAGATTGCATATTTTGTCTCATACGGTTGTTATTATTCGGCCTATGCACACACGTACAAGCTGTTCTTGGTCTTGTAATTGTGATTATTTACACCAAAATCAACAGCCAATAAGAGCTGGACACATGGACAAAAGAGAGCATCGATAGGGAAGCCCACAACACCCAGGCCTACCAATCACGTGATTAGGGCAAAATCACCCTCTGGACACGTGGAGCATCCACAGCGAATACCAATAGTCCACCATCGAAATTCTACACAACATGCACACCTCCCAAGGCTTATAAAAGGGGGCACAAGTCCCAAAATGGAGGTAACTGGAACTTTCGGCATACTAGTCATAGCTCTGTCCAGATTACTTACTAAATCCGCACTTACTTACGCATTGGAGAGCCTTCAGTCGGTACCACACCAGTGCCCTAGGTCTTACCGAGCTTTTCCTATCTTGCAGATCAGGCGCTCCTGCCGAGGCCCAGGGCATTCTGAAGGCTCATACATCACTAAGTTGGGCCCAAAAGTGCCGAACCACTTTTTCGCATCAATAGTTTGGCGCTGTCTATAGGAAACGATTTTAATCGACCCATTATGCCTATCACATGGGGACCACATTAGTTCCTGCATTTTTGCCAGAAGAGGGACTACCGTTCGAAAGGCAAAGCGGAGCTAGCCTAGCGCTACTCCCTTGCACTCCCTTCGACAATTCACCCGTTATACAAACCATTGCCAAAGCCGAGCTTCTAGCCCAAATCACTTCTCTTTGACAGAATATGGCAAAATTCCAAGAACATAACAACCTTATTTCATCCAAGGTAGACGAGACATAGCAGCTGCTCAATCAGCACCCTCCAAGTCGGTAGAAGAAGGGTAAAAAGGGGGCAAAGGCAACGCCCGTACCCTCCAAACACCTGGTAGTTTCGGCTCTCATAGATAAACCCTACCTGCCGAAGAAGGTTTATATCGATTGTCGCCATCAGCTGATAGATCGGGAAGCTAAAAAACAAAGGTCTCCGATCAAAATTGGGGCACATCTCTAAGACTCACGAATGAGGATCCTAGGAAATAAATCCCCCATCCGAAAAGTGCAAGGTTTGGAGTCCACAACAGAATCTAATCACGAGTACGTCCCTTCCAAAACTCAAGAGTCCACCTAATGTTCGGTAAGGCCGACACGATACTCTGAGGTTAACCCAATAAGGTCACAGAGACATTCAGAGGACTATGGACCAGAAGGGATTCCTAGCCGAGACCTAGTTATCCGACTCTTTTTCCAGAATTTTCAAAAATGGAAGATGACTGAACCGGGTCTCAAGAACCCGACTGGGGAAAGCTTTGTCCAGGACCATTCACCGAATGCATCAAGCACTCCAGACATCACAGGGATGTGCTACCACTGCTCTTACAATTTTATACTGGAGTAGAAGATCCCCTAACGTATCTCCACTCGTTCCAGTCTATTGTAGGGTGCAAAGGTCTCAGTGATGAAGGGTAGTGCTTGCTGTTTCCATCTGCGCTTGCCGGAGCGACTTTAAACTAGATCTACAAATTGGAACCAGGAATGGTGGACTCCTTCAGCGACTTGAAACAAATCTTCCTCAATCATTTTATGATCCAAACAGACCGTCTGTATTCTATCGATGATTTGTACACCATTCGGCAGAAGGAGAATGAGCTTTTGAGAGAATATGTTGTGCGTTTCAGTCACGAGTACTTGAGGAGTCCTGAGACTGATGACAGGGCAACCTTTGGCCACTTCAAGAGTGGACCTCATTCATCACACTTTCGGTAGTTGGTATACAGTAGCAACTGGCGTACCTATGACGAGTTAATGAAGCAAGCAGTAATCCACACAAAGGCCGAATGCTTCAACTCAAAATTCGGGCCCTCGGCTCGGCAAGAAGAGCCCTCGCTGAAGAATTATTCGGCGCAGGGATCACCATATGCCTCGACTGAAAGAACTTATGGGTATCAGGTGAGCCAAAAGTGGAAGAACAACTCTGACACTTGACAGGGGCACTTGAAGAAAGGAAAGGGTAAATATGGTCGAAACGACCACCAGTGCCTTTACCGAATCATGATCACGTCAGGAAGTTTTCACTTTGCTCAACACCACTTACGAGGCTGTTCTTATGAATGAGCACGAAATAATACCAAAGCAACGACGACATACAACGTCATAACAAGATGAACGGCACTCACCGGGATCAAAGCACATATGTCCCCCCATATGTTACTCATGAAATTCCCAACCTACCACGACATAGGTGCAATCCGAGGAGACCAGTTGAGTGCGCCAACCTGCTATGCGACGACGCTGAAATCTGCAGCCCTCAAACCTCCCAGGGAGACCCTATCTGTCTAATAGACATCGAACGGTAAAGGACCCATTGACGACCCAAGAAACGAGGCTCCGATGCCGTAGGCGCAACCTGCCAAGGATTTGGAAACAATCATCTTAAACAAAGATCAACCGGACCGGTGCGTAAAGATTGCACCACACTAACCCCAGCCCTCCGATCGAATTTTATTCAATTTTTGAGGCACCACTCTGAGGTGTTCTCTTGGTCTTACGACGATATGCCGAGCATTTCTCCCGAAGTTATTAGTCACAAGCTCAG